TAGTTCCAATATATAATCAACTACCCTGGGAAAGCAGTATAACATCAAGATAAGCCAATATTTAGATGAGATGACGGTCAGGTGAAATATTGGCTCAGAATACCACCCGATATCATCTTGATAATGGAGTAGATAATATATTTGTCCTGTAATGTACTCCTGCCTATGGAGATACATTCACTTGTATTGCTGTAATCAAAGTTTTAATCTTTTTGGCCTGAACTTAATGAAGACCTGAACTTCGGGTCGAAACGTCGGCAAATGTTAAAATAAATATTATTATTTATTTTTGGCTTCTTATTTCTGACTGATCAACCCAACTATCCTTCTCTTCATTATTCACTAATCAATCGTCAACCTACAATTTTAATATTTTTGTTTTATGCTTATCATGGTTCTAGCATTAAATATCTGGTGCCTTTAGCTAGTTAATAATTCAATGAATGTCTACTCTTTTTTATTTATGTAGTTGACTTCTGATAAAACTTTTTCAGTCAGCAATATCTTTCTATTTTTACACGTGGGAGGTAATGTTTTAGATCGATTGGTATGTAAAGAACGATTTTTTGAGCAATCATCAGGACCTATGCTAAAAAGTTTGATGGCTAAAATTATTCAGTGAGATCCCGAGAACGTTTTGAAACAATTCGGGCTAAAAACAGTGGCAAATTTGTTAATTAAAAGGTATGTAACGATTTTTTTGAAAGAATATCTGGACCGATTTTTTAGATTGTTTGAGTCGTTTATTTCCAATGGGAACCCTAATAATTATGAAAAAAATTTCAGGAAACGCGTAAAACTATGTTTTCTTTAACAATAATATGTCAAAACCATTTTTTTTTAAATAAATTTAGAAATTCTTTAATATTTTTAAAACTACCTAATTTTATATGGCCTCAGAGAAAATCGAGTCTCCTTGAAAATAAACCAATGGTTGAACGAGCTTATAGGTTTCTCCTCGAATTCAAAAACAAAATTTAGCAGGTGGCTAAACGTTTTTCAGCTTATACGTTTAAGGAAGTATAATTTGAATCCAAGCCATTAGTGAAAACTTGTAATTAAATATGAATATTGGTATTAATTGAGCCTTTCAATTGACAGAATAACTAACTGATATTTTTAAGAAAATGAGATTTTTTCATTATGTGAATATGTTTATTAAATTGTATTAAATAAACCTATTAAAGCTTTTGTATTGCTAGTTTTGATAGCAAACTTTTTTTTTAATTTAATTTCTGAAGAAAAATCAATATTTTTCAGGTAACAGAATGACTAACTGAAGATTCCAAGCAATCCATAAAAGACACGTTTTTCGATGATATTTGCGACTTGATAGAGCGAACACCTGATCGTAAGATTGTTATCTGATTGGGCGACTTCAACGGACGTGTTGGCAGCAAGTTCAACGATGAGACCGTGGGACGCTTTGGAGAAGAGGTAACTAACGATAACGGTGCAAGATTAATTAGTTTATGTGAGCAATTAAACATGAAAATATTAAATGGATTCTTCAAGCATAAAGAAATTCACAGATTCTCCTGGCACCAGCCCACTAAAGGTCTAAAATCAATCATAGATTATATAATCCTCAGGCGCACTACTAGGATAAAGGTGAACGATGTTAGGGTGATGAGAGGGGCGGAATGTGGTTCGGATCACTTTCTTTTAAAGAGTATTCTGAATTTTAAACCCCATATTCTTCTTAGAAACTCTCCTGTGACCAGAGGAATTTCAGACTCTCCGAAAACGATTCGATACTCAATTGAGAGTATGAAAAATCAAGAATCAGTAAAAGGACTGTTCCAAAGCCGACTGATGGAGAAATTAAATCATGAGAAAGATCTGAATGATCGGCTAAATTACGAAAATATAGTAAAGTGCCTGCATGCAGCAGCTTTAGAAGCTGTCGGAGAGGAAAGGAAAGAGGTTAGAGGAAAAAACAAGCCTTGGTGGAATGAGGATGCTGAAGTGGCTGTTCAAGAGAAAAAATATTTATACAATAAATGGTTGAGCTCTAAAAATGAGAAGGACCTGAGGGAATATAGAAATGCCTGTAAAAAAGTAAAAGCTATTAGAAGGAAGGTATTAAATATCTATTGGGAGAAAACCTGCAAGTATGTGGACACTTACATTGATGGACAAAAGTCTAGTGCTGCTTGGAGGACATTAAAAAAATTGAAAAATCCCAAAAGATGTGGAGATAACTTCCCATTGATCAAAGAGCAGCAATGTGTGAATTACTTTGAAGAATTATTTCATGAGGAACGACCCGAATTCACATGGAACCAATCCGATGAAATGATATCAAATAAGGAAGATATACCGCCAGTCACAATCATAGAACTGGACTCAGTTCTCAAAGGAATGAAAAATAGAAAATCTCCCGGCCCTGGTTCTATTCCAATTGAATTAATTAAAGCAGGCCCGACCGAACTCAAAATGACACTGGCAGAAAGTATGACACTTCTGTTAAATGGTGGAGAGATCCCCGAAGAATGGAAACAGGGTTATATCACTCCAGTTTTCAAAAAAGGCCAAAAGAAAGACGTTTCCAACTACAGAGGTATTACTGTTACCAGCTCGCTGAGTAGATTATACGGCCGGATAATTAAAAGCAGAATTGAAAATGATTTAAGGGAAGAGATCAGCGAGGAACAGGCGGGTTTTCGAGCTAGAAGATCATGCACTGATCACATTTTTAGTCTCTCACAACTTATAGAAAAGAGGATGGCCCACGACCGTGAACTCCATATGATATTTGTAGATTTACACAAGGCCTATGATTCAGTACCTCTAGCGAAATTGTGGAAAGCTTTGGAAGCCACATCTATTAAGAGATACCTCATCAGAGCAATTCAAGAGCTCTATAAAAATATAAAGAGGGCTATAAAAATAGGAGATAGAGTGTCTAGAAGCTTCTTCATTAACAAAGGATTGAAACAGGACTGCTGCCTTTCACCCCTGATTTTCAACATTTACATAGAACAAGCCCTTAAAAACTGGAAAAGATCGTGCTGTGGAATGGGTGTTCAAATCGGGAATGATGTCATCTACAATTTGCAGTATGCCGATGATCAAGTCATAATCGCATCGGATCCGGATGATGTTAGCTATCTGATGAGGAAGTTGCTGGACACGTATTCCAGATGGGGTCTGAAAATCAGTGAAAGTAAAACAGAGTATATGGTTTTCAACGCTCCAAATTTGCCCCTTGAAATTGATGACTGGACGCTAAATGTCAGCCAGCAGTTCAAGTACCTCGGATACTGGCTATCTTCAAAGGGTGGTAGTGAGGTTGATATCGACCATAAAATAAATAATGGGAAAAGAATAATAAGTTCGATAAATTCAACCCTATGGAGTAAAGAGATACGATTAGAAACTAAAAAGAACATATACCATTCCTTTGTAGAAAGCGTAGCCACTTACGGATCAGAAGTCTGGACACTGACAAAAAAGATGGAAAATAAGCTGCTTTCCATGGAAATGAATTTCTGGAGAAGAAGCTGTGGCATATCCAGAATCGAGCGGATCCCAAACGCAGCTATTAGAGACAAGGTCGGATGTCAAAAGAACATCCTTCACCTGATCGGGACCAAACGGTTAAAGTGGTATGGCCACTTAATGCGGATGGATGAGAACCGCTGGCCAAAGAAAATCTATAACTATATGCCACCTGAAAGAAGGAAGCGTGGAAGGCCAAAGAAGAAATGGACAGAGGACGTGGAAGAAAGCATGGCAGCCAGAGGGCTTCGTGAGGGAGATTGGATGGACAGGGAGCAGTGGCTTTTGGGGATATGACTCCTTAAGTTGTGCAAAACCCAAATAAAAAAAAATAAAAAAAAAAAAAAAAAGAATGACTAACTCCTTATTTGTTTATATTGTTGAACGACATGTGATTTCTTTTAATTCTAATTGAATGTTTTAAAACCAATAATACTTTAAAGAGATGTTTGTCTTATTACCTTAGTTCAGTTTAAAATTCAGACGTTAAAAATCATGGATGCAGACTCATTATCAGATGAACATTTTTTTTTTTTTTTTGGTATTACAAATTTGCGTATTTACAATTTTTGGATATCATAATTTCAATTTAAAAAAAAAAAAAAATAGATATTGTTGTCAGGAAACAGAAATAAGCCGTGGATCTTAAGACGTAGCTACTTTTAAAAATCCTGGTGCGCGCAACACACAGCTTTCACTTACCGCTCAACTTCGAAAAGCAATTCTTCTCTGGCAAAATTGGGCTATTACAAGAAGTTTCTGAAGCGCAATTTTAATGGAGCTAAACCTTGAACCATATATTTTCGAATTTCGGTCATATTCATCAATACAAAAACTCATTAAGACCATCAAAATAGCATAAACCCTATTTATTGTAGGCAATAAAAATCTTATATCAGCATCAGTCTATTTGAATCACATAACTCCAGTTTCTGAACTCTATATACTCAGAGAGATTTGAACGTACATGTATTTAATTATGAATAAACAAGGTATGAAGATACTGCATAATAAAAATTATAGGAATTAAATCTCTATCAATTTTTAAATGTACCTTAATTCTTATTTTTCACCCTTAGAAAATTTACCCAAGAAAAATGTTACTTGTTTTTAAATAAAGCATCAATAAGTCATTTCAACATTTTCGAGTAATGTCATTTTAGTGATATTTCTAGTTGAAAAAGTTGTATCTATGTAGAGAGTGAGGAAGTTGATTCCAGAGTAGATTCAAACATTTTCACGATCGCAATATTTTCCCTTACTATATGTCACATATATAGATAAGTGAAAGTAAAAATAGGATATCGTCATATAAATCACAGGCAACAGCAAAGTCACTCTTATTTTGTGATGTATATTTTAAACAATATTGTGCATTTTGAAACTTTTTGGTTTATTAATAATTCTTCTTGTTCAAAAATTAATTTACAACTTATAGTTATCTGTCTAGAGAAAGAATTGTCTACTTCATTTACTTGAACAGTCAGAAAATTGAGTTATTTTTCCAACAATCCTGACATCAGAGCACATGTTGAGTAGACGTACTGAAGTATCTGAAAATAATAATCAATTTTATTAAATACATACTGTAAGAGTTAAATATTAACAGCAGATATTTAATAAATATTTTCACAATCAGATATATTTTATTTTATTTATTACGTATTTTTTATGTAGTACATGATTAAAAATAAAAATAAAAAACTGCCAAATATTTTTTATTGGAACCAGTTTGGTTAGGTTTGATACATCCACTCTAGTCGATGTTAAATCGAACCTGTTAAGAATATCTGTTACTAACATCTATCAAGATGTTCATGTTAAGAATTTCGTAATTTAGCATTGGAGGGTCCTGACGTGTCGTTTATTTAAAACGACTGTCAGCCACATTTCAAACATTGCAATTCTGGAACCAATTAAGTCTCGGCCACCAAATTTGTGCTAAGCGTTCTTGTTGTAAAGAATGAAAGTATAATGCATGAGAGAACAATGTAATATTAATTAAAATTTTCGTAGCTTCAAGAATTCATGAATGTCACGTAGTCAGTAAAATAAAATACATATTTATATCGTACTTTTTTGAAAATAGTAAACGCTCCGAAAGACGTATTAATTTTTAATTTTTGGCATTAAATTTCAAACTACAGTCGTTTAATAGTAACTATTAAATGCCCAGTTAGTATATTTATTTCGAAAATGAACCTTGTAGTATCCCCACAAATACTTTAAAACACTATTTATATGTTTTCGGGATTTCACTAGAAGCCACTGGTGGATGGTGCCCACTACGGGAGAGGTTCCCCCTTTCCCCAAACCGAAATTTTTTATTTTTTCATTGCTCCATATATGTTACTGTGATTCATCTAAGCTGAATAATTTATAAAAGCCACCACAATAAGTTATTTTTGTTGTTAACTATTTTTTTAACTGTAATACATATACAGCTACTAAACATAACCATGTATTATGAAAAAAATATCTTAAAAGTATCCCTAAGAGTATTATTGTTTGTGTAATTATATTTTTGTGTTTTGAATAGGGCTTCGAGAATCGTTTCATTTATTTCTATTTTTTTCAAACCATTGTAATCACATCGTTAGTTCTTTCGCCTAGTAGTATTGGTCTCAAATATCTTGATTAGGAAGTACTAATGTAGACCAGGAATTTTTTTATATTTTATTTCCTACTTGAATTAATCACTAAATACATACACCCATTTACATATATTACACTCAACTTTTCAAATTTTTGTAATCTAAATAATTAAATTTTAATTAATTCTAACGCTAGATTAATAAATATTACATAAAAGCGTTTTGTTTCCCACCCGTGTACTTGTCTAATTTAATTATATTTTTTTTCAGTTGCATCACACAAACTATTACCCGTTTATATTAAGAAATAATATAAAATATATTATCTATTAATAAATTAATGTATTATTATATATTAAATTTTAAAAATGTTCTACTTATCATTATATTTTTATACTTTACCATTACATACAATATTTATGTATTTTAATGTTGTATTCACATCTTAGAATTTATTTATTAGCCGATAACATATATTTTGTTCTCTTGTCTTTTTTACAATAGTTCTTTAATGTTTTTGGTTATCTTGTCTTCCCTTATTCCTGATGAAGGACTGAAACTTAGGCCAAAACTTTGGCACAAAATTAAATAAAATATTTTTATTTGTGTTTCTCGCTAACTACAACGCTTCAATGTTTAATTATTTTAATGTCTATCTTTATATATATATATATATATATATATATATATATATATATATATATATATATATATACATATGTATATATGTATATATACATATGTATTGTATACATACAATAAAGAAACCTATTGATTGCTTCAATTATTTTTATGAAAATTTAATTATTACGCCTAGAAATATTAAGTTTGTCACTAATAAATACGCATCAATGCCTATGACAGAAATCTGAGAGAAAAACAAAATTTCATATCCACCTTAAATGAAAAATATTTGAAAAATCATTATTTTTAATTTTTTTTTATAAATAAAATGTGTTTTTAGGTAATTATATTTATCACAGTACATCCTGTATCGCGGAAAAACAAGAAATAAAAGTTTTGTAAAAGATAATTCTTGTAATTTTAGCTGAAAACAAAGATAATTTTAGGTGACTGGATAGAAAATCACATTTCTTTACACAACTAGAGGTGAATCTCAATTTTTTTAAAATAAACCTCAACTTAGTTACAATATACTTAAAGCTTATTAAACAAGGATGTTTTCGTAAAAGTGGTGTAAACGTAGTACAGTTAAAGGATGATAGGAAAAAAAAAATCACAAATAATTTATGAATTTCTTTTAAACGGAACGTAGTTATGTTTGTCCGCTTTATTTATCTTCTTTAAATAGTTTTAACAAAAACAAACCCTACTTTCGTTTAAAGTAAATTTTGTCTAGTTTACTGTGGAACAATGTTTGATTCCTTAAATCTCATATTTGTTTAGTTATTGCTTCTTATTCAACAAAAAACGCCACTCACTTAAAAAAACACAAATCTTAAATTTCCTACATTTATAGTGGAATTTGGGTAATTGTTTATATGAGCTTTTTTCTAGATCTTGATGTCTTCTATTAACCTTTTAAACATTTCTCTCTACTTACAGGACACCCTATATATATATATATATATATATATAACAATATTATTGTTATATGCCCGTATGGTAATGTGTTATCATCCCGCCTCTTCTACATAAGCTTTACTTACAGCCATCAAAGTTTCCTTATTGACGGGGTACATCTTGATCGCTGTCAGGGTCACTCCTTTCTCTGCTCCCATCATCAATAGCTGAGCAGACTTCCTGAACTTAACGTCTGCCTTGTACCAATCGCTGCTGTATACTGCAATCTGGATATCCGAGCTCTGTCTGCGAAAAGATTATTAGAAACAGATGTTGAAGATGAAGATAGGAGAGGAACAATAACCTAAGCGAATTTTTGATTGGAAACAGAAGAAAGGTCGCCCGAGGAGAAACTGGTATGAGGGAGTTGAGGAAGGGATGATGAACAGCGGTGTGCATGATGAAGATCGGGGCATTTCCACTCGGGGCAATATATATGCTGCGGCAACCTCAAAGTAGCCGTCGGGGTTGGCAAAAGGACCACGATAGCCCCCACCATGTACAAGTATCAGTACTTGAATTATAAAGGTGGCTGTGATTTTTAATTTGTTCAAATTGTATCTTTTATCAACAAGCAAATATTAGATTTAATTATTAATCGCTTCTTTAGGCTGAAATTATAAAAATGCAACTGCGGGTAATTTAGCCATAGAAATTGGGGATACTTTTCTCTAGTATATTTGTCCTCATAAATGGTGCAAAATGACCCGATTTGTATATTATCTGATTTTTTTTTTATTTAAATTTTCAACATCATTGTAATAGTAATTTTAAATTAATTATATTAATTTACTTTTAAATACATAATTTGGATTTATTTTGGACAGGAATTATGTTAAATGAAAATGTCTGTTTTAAAGTAATTTATTATTATGTTATTCTAAGTTTTTTTTTTCAATGAAAAATAATTTTTAGGTTGAAAAAAAGAAACATTTGTCGTTCTCAAAGAACATTTAAACCAAACTGTTAAAAAATATGTTATACTTTTAGTGGTTATTCTCTTTGATGAAAACAACTTTAAATTTTAGCTGTTTTAGTAGGTTTTTAAGAGTATTCAAATTTTGCTAACTGACTCATACACTTTGCATAACTTTTTTGGCAAAAAATATAAAACACTTTCTAAGTTAAAATAATAGGGGTTTTCTTTGTTCCATATAACTTTATTGTGATATTGTAATGGAAATTCTGAGTTCGTTATTTCTTTGTTATTTTATAAATAAAAAAACATTTAAAATATTTACATCTTACCGCTGATTGCAGCCAAGAAGAACAATAACAAAACATGAAAAGTTCAACCATTTGTGCGGTTAGAAACTGGAGAGCTTTAAATCCATCAATAATGTCCCCAGTTTCTCCCTGAAATAAAATTATATCAAATACATATTCTCTTCATTTTCTTACTTATCTTTCTCTTTCGCGAGAAAAGAAAAAGACACTTAAAAAGACCACTCTCTCCTCTTTTTTTCCTCAAAGACTTGCATGTATTTTTCTTCATTTTTATAATAAATTAAGAGATAATTTAAGAAAACACCCAAACAGCAATAAAAAAAAATATCGATGAGACTTTTAGTTTATAAATTTACCTTTATGTTTTTAGTTAGAGGGAAACTAAAGGTAATTTCATGGAGAAATGACGAATCCTATTTTCGAAAGGTAAAGGTAAACAACAACTACCATAAAACTCATTGAGAAAAAAAGGAGGTTTCAAAGAGTGACTTCATCAAGGCCTTGTATAGTTGTATGTGATTTTAATAAACGTTGACGTTTCAAGAATTAGTATATTGCTATTTATATCAGCATTCAACGAACTAAAAATCTATTAAAAAGATAAACGGAGGAGAATATTTCATGTTTTGTTATGCACTTGACATAAAATTGAAAGAAATTTTGATATTTTTAATAAATAAATAAAAATATAGTGCATCACAACTAAAAACTTACAGCTAAAAAGTCATTAAGACCACTGAAATAACAAAAATCCTATTAATAATAAAAACCTCGGTTCTTCGTATGTTTTTGTGAAGCAGAGAAATCCAGTATCTGAGCTATATACATATATCAATGATCTTTGTCACCTGGTTTGACTATTATTACTTTTACTTACGTATATATGTAATATATAGTAAGTGTAAGTATTACGATCGAGAAAATTTTTGAATCTGAGTTTTAGACGGATTTATACTTTTGAGGTATCCTGATTCGAAATGACCAAGTCCCGAAAAATGGTCTGTGTGTTTGTATGTTAGCAGTCTAGCTCAAAAACGAAAAGTCCTATGAAACTGATATCACTTATTTAAGATAGGTATATGCCTTAGTTGTGACGGCAACTTTTTCCTTAAAATCGGCTAACCGGAAGTGCCACTTTATATCAACGCTGAAACACATTTTCACAGTTTTCTCAAAAACGCCTCTAACGATTTTGATTAAACTCGGTGTATCATTGTATAATTAAGTGGTCTTTAATATAAATTAGGTCTTATCCCCATTGATGTCACTTTACAGGGCTTAAATGCCCAATGTTCATATACATCTTCCTCTAAAGTACCTTTAATATGGTTTATTTTAAAAAAGATAATTATTTCGCATTATTCAGAGTTACGAAAAAATGCTAAATATAACTTTTGAAAGAATTTGATATTTATAATATTAAATACATATACTGTAGTTTAGTAATTATTTATTAAATTTTAAATTGGTCCATAATCGTCTTATCTTTTTGGCTGGATTCAAGGAATTGCTGTGTTATATATGTGTGCGATGTTATATTGCGTTCCTGGCGTTTGAGAATTTAAAGAGAAAAAAGGAATTTATTTTTATTTTGGGAAAGTATTTATTATGCTATGTCTATTGTTTAATATGGTTTATTGTTGATAATTTGTAAGAGTATTGTTATGAAGGGGGAGAAAAAAAAAAAGAAAAATATAATATAAAATTAATGTCCGTATGGATTGATAAGTATGCTGTGTACGAAGCAACCCTATGTAGTAGGGCAGCATTACTTTTAAATTTAAAGTATTTCTCTATAAATAATTAGGCATTAAAGTTAATTCCAAAATATTGTCATATAACTTTTTAGAAAACTAAATTAGTGAATAATTCGATGGATCTTCTCCTTGTTATATTCCACTACCATTTCATTGTACTTGTGTGAAAAAAAAAGTGAAATACAAAAATATTTCATAGATACGTTTATAACCCTAAATATATTTACTGTAGTTTAATAACTCTAGACCTCATAATATATTTAAATATTTGGATATCTATCGTCCGTTTATTCCGAAAAATCATCATGTAACCTTTTAGAAAATTAAATTAGTGAATAGTTTGATAATTTTTCTTTTTGCGATATTCCAACAGAATCCACTTACAATTAGTGTGACAACTTTTGACCTGTCTATGACAGACACTGCAAATCTCTTAATTCCGTTTTAATAAACTTTGCAATGGAAAATAACAGTTTAATGACTTATAGTCTTACAATCCATAATCAATGGATCGAATAATCCATAATCAAGGAATCGTACAATCCATAGTCAACCGGTGATATAATAAATAGGACTTTTGTTATTTTAATAGCATTTGTGTTTTTTTAGTTTTAGCTCAGTTTAAAATGTAATTTAAAACATTTTATAATAGCCTAACATGGCCAGAAAATAATTTTTATTCAATGTTCAAAGAGTAAGTGAAAGTTGTGTGTTGCGTTCACCAGATTGTTTATACTATTTATTAGTTTTTCTCTTCGCTCCTGGTTGTGCTTTTTCTTATTTATTTTATACTTCTTGTCTCTCTGTGTACCAATATGAGTCTGTAGGTATACATAGTTCCTTTTTTGTCCATTACATAACAAGTAATCCTGAAATTTTATCTGAGTGTTTGCATATTATTATATAAATCACTGTAGATATTATTACAATTTGTATTAAGTTGTTTTTCTATTAGATAGCCTATTGTTTATAAATTGTGTAGTAATGTATAGATAAATATGTAATTTCTTTTTTTTTTCACCACAATAATAAGTAATTTTGAGAAGATTCATATATATATATATATATATATATATATATATATATATATATATATATTATTCAACCTATAAATGATTATGGATTGTATGCGTATTAGTTATTAAATTGTTATTTTCCATTGTAAAGTATACTAAAATTAAATAACGAAATTTTATAAAGGAATAACGAATCCTAATTCGAGATATGTAATTGGCCTACAATAAAACTGTCAGAACTCAGTTGACGCAAAATTTGATGATTTATAACTTTGATTCTATGGGCTTTTCCTCTTAGGGAACTCATTTCCATGTTACAGGGGCATTTATAGTAATTTGTCTCAGTTTTTGACAAGTTTGATAAAAATCAGCGATTGTTGACCGTGGTTTTATACCTTACCACGTAACCAAATTATAAAATTTATGTAATCGTTTGACGCAAAATTTAACGTTCTTTAACTTATTAAAGAATACATTTTTCGCTTTCATGCATACTTTAGGAGTAATAGGTGAAAAAAAATATTGAAAAAATCTGTTTTTGCTGTAAAAAGTTTTCCTTTGTTGGCCCGCGTTAACTCTTTTGTTTTTACATGTCTAAACCCATATATACAAGTTAAAAAATTAAAAACTTTTCGCAATGGATTTTCCGTTTCGGTCCTCAAATTATTATCCTGATATTTTTTAAATCAGCCGCCATTTTTGAAAGCAGCAGTTCTGGAACAACAGACAAGATCCTTTTTACTCAAAATAAGATACACTTTCGTAATTTACAATCAAACCTTCGCTTACGATCTGGTCGATTTTTGGGCCCTGTCTCCAGGGCTATAAGGTCAGTGATAAAGGGACTTTTAGGAGGTCTGATACGGCCGTGCAGTGGTCGGAAAAAGCACAAAATAAACTTCAAATTTAAGCAAGCTATTTAAAAAAAAAAAATTATTATAGCTTTCAGGCATTATGAATTGTTATGAAATAAAACTTTTTTGTAAAGGTTAAACTTAATTGTAAAAGGTTAGTGACCGAATCAATTTTTAATATATATTACTATCATAAAGACATAGTGGTAAGAGAAGAAGAGTAAATCAGCCTACAACTAAATGAAAATAAAACCAAATACATGGTGGTGAGCTAAAACCATTTCCCCATTATATCAATTATGAGTCACGAAATTGTTTTAATTTCTCTTCAATATTTTCCCTCACATTTTCTTTCAGTTCTTTTGTTTCTATACTTTTTCTCCAGTCTTCTATGATGAAAAGGAGTAAATTATATTAGTTATACATTTATTTAGATACAGGAAGGATTTTTTTCTTGCTCGTTTTTGGAATAATTTTCTTGACTGAATTTGCCAGATAATTATCCAATATCTCAAATTATCGCTGCTGATTTTTTTATTCATCATTAGCAGAAGGTTCAAAAAACATTTTGATTACAGTAATACCCTGGCGGTTGTTTGCGCGAGGTACTTTCCGATGAAAAAAGTTAATTCCAGTATCCGTTGAATGATAACTTATTTTACGAAAATACGATTTTTTAAAAATTTATTTAGAACTTATTTAACTCATTTTCAAAAAATACTCAACAAAAAATTATTTTTACAATTGATATAGCAAGTTGCATGATTATTGTGACAGAAAGAGGCTTTTTACTTATATTTTATTGAATATCTTTGAAACTGGTGTTTTAATCGTACCTAAACTTTAGGAATACATGAGTTAACTATGTCAGACAATAAAAACATTGGATTTTGAATTATCATAACACCTCGAAAATAGGGGTTTTGTTGTTCTCAGACCACTCTGCGGTGTTGTGCTGCTATTTTCCATATCCTTATAAATTCTTAACCTTAAACTACTGTAAATTGGGCATTTAGATAATATATAATGAAGTGTTTCGTTTTCTATAGTGTTGCATATTTTGCACTGAAGTTGTAGAGTAATTTTCACAATTTTATTATTAACAGAAATCTTGATCATATATTTTCCCGAGTGTCGGATCTGCATTAATATTGTCGTATATTTAAAATTAGTCAGTATCAACAAATACTGAGGGATCTGATCATTATTAAGGAAATCTTTTTAAATGTTCACTATAAGATGAGCTATGCAATGTTATCCTGTCTCGGTCCTGCAAATGTTGTTGATATTTATTTAATATCCTGATAATATTTGTTCTAATTATGGCTGAGTTTGTTTCATAAACTAGAGTTCCTTCCCCAATATTATCTAACAATACTTTTAGCTGATTACACCAATTATATTTCGATAGAGCAGGATTATCTAAATAACAAGCTACCCTAGTTTATTTAAATAATAGTAAAAAATTATAATTTTACAAATTGTCTCACCATAAGGTAGTGAAAAAGTGAAACAATAAGAAACACTATCGCTAGGCCCAGATTCATCGTCAATAAAGGATTGTAAACACTTCTCAACTCTTCAGCATAACTGAAAAAAAATCGGAATGATAACACGTTATGTTAATTATTTTAAAATTATCATGAACGAATAAATACCTTAATAATTTGTGATGATCTTGTATAATACTGTACAATTCCTTGTTCATATCAGAATCTATGTATTCATGTGCGATCTTTCTCAAGCTGCTGTTAGAATTCGAATTGCTCTTACTGTTACACTTAGATTCAGTATCGATCAAGTTTCTGTTAGAATTTGAATTAGAACTGTCGTACATGGTTGATGCGTGATATCCTAGTACTACAAATTGGGCGTGAAGACCCACCAGGATTTGATAAAAGAGGCAAGCATAAGTTGGTTGATATATTCCTCCTATTAAGAGACAAATGGCTTCATAAACGAATATTATTTCGTAATAGGGGGACTCGCCCATCGGCAAAGGATACCAAGCACTCAATAGCTTCTTCTTCCCTGTTTTCACATCGAAGATATTTCCCTTGTGGTACATGATATAGTCCACAGGAGTCCCAGGGATACATAAATTCGAGAAAACTACACTGAAATCAACAATGTATGCTAAAATACACAAAATATTGGCATTTCTAGTGATCTTCCGGTATATAATACAAGCTTTAGCCATCTTGTATTCAGGAATATGAAGGAAATCTTTTTGTATCAAATTGCATAGCTTACTCTGACTTTCAATGCGGAACCAAAACACCATGATCCTACCCCCCATCATGATGGCTGGCAGGAAGTGCAAATTTATTCTTATAGCCTTTTGAATATCCATATCTATAAAGAAGTAGCAGATGAGTTGGAGAACGATGAAAGGAGTACAGATAATGATATTCGAGTAAAAATGAAAATTTATAAAAGCGTTCCTCTTCCCCGTTGTTTTGTAGTCATTAATGACGTTCCAAAATCCGAAAAACTTGAGATATCCCACACGAAGTCCATCGATGACGTTGGATTCCTCGAGAGGCGGGTGGTACGGCATGTCTTGCTGACAGCGACAACCGAAATAATTTCCCTGAGAACTCTCCTTTAGATAATAAAGACTCTTCTTGTTTATTAACGTTCTAATTAACTTCAATAATCGAGTCCTGCAATAATTAAGTCCTTCTCTTTTATTTAGTACCAATCTAATTGTCCTTTTACCTGAAGCATATTCATGACCAATTAAAGGATGAACACATAACGAAAACCTGAATATTTAAACGATTCTATTAGGAAAGTACAATAGACAACTGAAAAAAAAATTGAATAATGAAATTCACAACTTGATCTAACAGACTCGTTTCTAATTAATCATAAAATAGAATTATATCAACATTTGATTTTCATAAAAACTAAACCAAGCAGAATCAATATATTTTTAATGAATTGAAAATACCAAAGGAGTATAACCGAAATATTTATCAAATTCGAATCAGTATCTACAGTGCGAAAAATATGATATTCCTTGAAGTTTAAAACAAGAAAATTCTCTTTTCCCACTTTTAATTCATATAGCATAAGAATATGTAGTGGAATCAACGATTGTGTAGCTCAGGAGTGCCCAAAAGGGATTTCATGGCGCTAATTGCGCCTTTCAAATTTTTGAGAAGGCATATTTCGGAAAAGTTTTAACCATGAGACAAAGGTAAAAACATGGTCGAGACCACAGCAGGTGTAATGGTATGTGATCCACATCTTTTTAAAATTCTTCTCTCAACTGCGTTGTTTTTAAGAACAGGAGAGCAATGGAATTTCATGGAAAGGGGGGGGGTTATACATCATCGACCATGGGGAGGGGGATGAGCACCCCCTAGCGTAGGCTAGTTATTTCTGGTATCATGCTTTTGCTCGGAGGGTATATTCATCTCAATAATTGAAAATTTCTGCTAAGTAGAATGATAGAGTTCGGTTACATGATTACCTATATTTCAAAGTAAATGATTTATTACTTAAGAATGAAATCTGAGAGAGATTTCGAAAAATAATCTCATCAAGGGAAAACGTACGCCTAAGCTAAAGAAGTATGGAATTCGATAAAATCGATATTAGCCCATCGACGTATCAATTCTTATTCCCTGAAAATTCTCTAAATCGAATTACATTTCAAAGTGTTAACCCGTCAAATATATTCCATAGCATACATATAGTTTAAACAGTTGCTAGATTGGTTTGACAAGATTCTAACTGACCTAACCTCTATTTAAAAAAAAATGGTTTAAAAAATTGATCTGCTAATAAAACTTCCTTTCATATTAATAAAATTTAGAAAATATGACTTCATTTCATCATTATTCTAACCAGAAAATAACTATATAAAATACTATCGGTAACTATATGCTAACTATCGGTTCTAAAGATCACCACACTAGTATCATTATCAATTCAGCCCAAACAACGAGGGTGTTTTAATTTCCACCCTATTATGTGCTTTTATGAATATTTGAAGATTTTGTATTCTTGAGATTTTTAAGACATCTCTTAGCCACCTATAAAAGTCATCTAGAAATCTGTTAGATATATTTTTTAAGATATCTTAAAGATAACTTTTAGATGTCTTTCAGAGATTGGTGCTGGGTTGATTATTATTATCATTGCTGATCCTGCAAGAACTTTCCTCCAGCTAACCAATCTCCATGGCAATATCCTCCAGCCATCTGATCCGAGGTCATCCTCTACTTTTTTTGGCATCCTCGTTTCATTAGCAGTAATTTAAATTTCGAAGATAGCTAAACAAATAAAAAAAATATATGACTTTATATAAAATATTTCGAAATGCAGTTAAAATATTGCCACGGATAAAATGAGTGAAAATGAAAGTGACGAAGGTAAAAGTGAGGCTACCGCTTCTTTTAATTAAAAAATACATTTAGCCTTAAAGAAAAATCAGAAGTACCTATAATCACATTTTATCCATAAATGTTATATAGTAGCCCAGTCAATGAATGCCCAAAAAGGGGATGTAGAATGCGTGAGCTGGGACCCAAGCAATTCCTTCAGAAACTTGTTCAAAGTTCTTAGGGTATAAACATATCAAAAGTCCTGACGTCTAGTATTTTCTATAACGTATATTTTATATAATATATAACCAGTGAAACTGAATTATATTAACATTTATTGTAAATCTGGTCATTATAGTTATTAAATAAGTTTACCTTCGCGCCACAGGTATTGAGAAAATTAAACAAATATTAATTCCAAATGGTCTCAAGTCAATGGCGGCAGGTTGTGGCAGCTTTTGTTTGTTAATTATTGATGTAGACACTCAATGAAGGTTTTCAAACGATTGGAAAAATTCGGAACAATTGCAGTGGAGCAAATGCACAGAATTGCCCGGGAACTTTCAAAATAATCTAAAATTTTAAACGGTTCTCGATGAACCAAATGAATATTATTTTGCTCAATTAAAGCGTATTTCATTCCTTTAAAAAAATGAAAAAGCAATTAAGTCGAAATAAAAAAAGATTTTATAATAATATTATTGGTTAGCCAAATCCAGCCACTTTTGTATTACTTCAATTAGACTCACGAGCTTACAATTTATTTTAGCTCTCTGAAAATCTGGCTCTGGATAACTTAGACCTTTAGCTTTGAATGGATGTTGGTAGTTTTAGTTCAGAGAAGAAGGTAAAAAATAGTATTATGTCCAGTTTTTACCCATTTGGGACCACAGTGCACCGTGGTACAGAACCCCTTACCGTACACCCCCTCCCTCCCCACATCCCAATAAGTTTCATATCGTTGTATTTCTTGTAACTATTTATTAAAAAAAAAAAAAAAACCAATAGCCCCACAGAAAAGTGAACGCACTATCCTAAAACGGCGTCCAACATGGCGGGTTGACAACTTTGACTTGAATTAGTTTTTCGGTCACTGAGATTCAGCAATTGGTTTAATTACCTCTTAGTTGGCCTTTTATTAAAGCTTAATAGTAAGAGAATAATAAAACATGAACAAATATAAAAAAAATAATTGGTTTAGGCTATAAAAAGAATGGTAAAATCGATTTATTCAATTCGTTCAAACTAATGTTGAAAATCAAGCGTCGTTTGTAAATAAATAGCCACAATAACGAAAAATGTAGTGATAAAAAACATCTGAACGATAAACATTTATCAGTGATTAATTTTTAAAATATTTAAAATAGTTCCTTGGAAAATGCATCTAATAGGTGGAAAAAGCGGTTCTTCCGTAAGCACCTATTTTCTTCTTCAGCAGTAGCGGATCCAGGATTTAATTTTTAGGGGGCCTCAGCCTGAAAGATTTTTTTTCATGTAACATATAACGATAATTAATTTGAAAAAAAAATAAAGAAATTAATTACCTATATGAAATGGTGTTTAAGTGGTTCTTTAAGTCCTATTAAATATAATTACACGAACAAGAATACTTTAAGAGATAGTTTTTAATATTTTTTTCTGTAAAACATGGTTATATTTTACCATTTTGGTGGGGAGGACTACAGCCCGGAAGCCCCTCCCCCCACCGTAGATCCGCCTGTGTTCTTCAGTACTCATAATTGGCATAGTTATAGGGCTATAATAACGTTGCTGGTATAACATTTGTTCATTTGTATAATAATATGTGTAGAAACACTTTAAATCCAGTTATTAAATAAAGTAGAAATAAAAAAATCAAAAAAAATCTTTACAACTTCTGTTAGATCAATTTCTTTCTCCAATGAATATCTTAGACGATATGAAGGAATATGTGATGAAAAACGTGAGGCACAATGATTTTTTTTCGAAAACGTCAACTTTTTTATGAGTGTTTAGCTCGCAAACAGTTTAGAATTCGAATAAAACCTGTAGAAGAAAAGTTTTAGATGCCCTTATGAACTTTTATTTTTTTATTTATTTATTTATTTTTTGTTCTTCCCTACCTCGCCTTTTACACTATACGGGATTTTCCCGGGCCGGGGGGTGAGGGCGGGGAATTTAAAATCCCCTCCGACACCGGGACGCGAACTCGTACTTTTTAAATCTTCTCAAATCTGTAATCCGGTTGCCAGGCAACTCGCGGTGCTGTGCACACGCTTTAGCCTATTCGGCCACACCGCCCCCTACTTTATGAACTTTAATTTACTATATGAACTATTTCCCCTGCGATTCACTATTTTCGAGATATAAGCGAAAATTCCAAAATGTTGACCTTCCCTTTCACTCCCTCTCCCCCAGACTCACTATCTTGACGTCAGGACTTTTGATATGTTCATACCCTAAGCACCCAGAACAAGTTTCTGAAGGAATCGCTTAGATCCCTGCTCCGTCGTAAACCAACAACTTCCTGTCCTACAGTTTCTTTTAACAATACTCCACTTATCCCTGTTGAGCAAATCCGATACCTAGGACTCCACCTGGACAAACGACTAATTTGGAATCCTCATACTAGACTGAAACGACAAGAAACCGCTCGACGTTTCCGATTACTTCAGCACTTACTAGACAAACGTTCTAATCTTCCAGTTAATTACAAAAGACTCATATACTTGACTATAATAAGGCCTATTTAGACTTACGGAGTTAAGCTATGGGGCTCCACTAAACCATCGAATTCCTCTCGTATCCAATCCTTACAGTCCAAAATCCTTCGTAAAATCCTCAATGCTCCCTACTTTTTTACAAATAAAATCATCCATAATGACCTTAATGTTCCTTTGTTTCAGATCTGGCCAATCCAGATACCTATCCTTCCATAATAAACTTCAGAATCATCCCAACCCTCTCGTTTCTAACCTTGCTTCCTCTTCAATTCCTGATAACCCTCCGAGGCGTCTGAAAAGAAGATGGCCCGTGATCTCTCCTAATGTAAACATATCATTAGAGTGCTACCATTGGGTAGTTACTCAGCAAGTGTTTTTCATGTCATTATATACATTATGTTCTAATTTACTTGATGTATTTATTTAATACAGTTGTAAATATCTTTAAGAAATAAAAAAAAAAAAAAAAAAAAAGATCCCTGCTCACGCACTCTATAACTCTTCTATTGACTAGACTATAT